AGGAGCTCAGACCGGAAAACTGCAGGGAAGGGGCTGTGGGGGCTGCTCTGTAGCGAGGTGGGCGTAGGGGAGTGGCTGCAGGAGGGGAAGGGTTAGAAAGGGGAGAATCACCCAGAAGCGGGCAGGGAGACCCCAGTAGGGTACCCAGGCTGAGAGAGAGGCGGCATCCAGCCCTTGAGAGGGGCGTGGGGAGGCTGCATGCTCAGGGAAGAGCCAGCTTCAGCGAGCTCAGATGAGAGGTTGGGGACATGGGCGCCTCTGCCCACACCTGCCTGTGGGTGGTCGCCTTCCTGCTGTGCCTGCTTCACAGGATCCTGCCCTGTTCCCTCACCCCACCCCAGGACGCCACAAGACTAGTGATCCTTTGAAAATCTCAGATCATGTGAGCTCCCAGCTCAGTGACCACTCTTGGCTTTCCGCCTTAGAAGGTAGTCTGATGGCCGTCCCTGCCAGGGTTCCGTGGTCAGGTTCTTCACCGCGTCGTATGCCACTTGCTCCTTCGTGCCCTCTACCCCAGCTGCACTGGTGAGCTTTCTGAGCTGATATGCCAAGCGTGTTTCTGCCCCAGGCCCTTTGCACTTGCTGTTGCCTCAGTCTAGAATATTCTTCCCCAGCTCTTTCATGACTGACTCTTGGCCATCTGCTCCTAGAACACACATCTTTCTCCATCTGAATACCGAGTCTTACGCATTCTGTTGTCACTCACAGCATGTCACTGTCCTATTTTCTTCATGACCCATCACTATCTGAAATGACCATAGTTCCCTGCATCTCCCTTTATTGAAGCATGGTTAAAAAAAAAAAATTTAGCCGGCGCCGCGGCTCAATAGGCTAATCCTCCACCGTGCGGCGCCGGCACACCGGGTTCTAGTCCCGGTCGGGGCGCCGGATTCTGTCCCGGTTGCCCCTCTTCCAGGCCAGCTCTCTGCTATGGCCAGGGAGTGCAGTGGAGGATGGCCCAGGTGCTTGGGCCCTGCACCCCATGGGAGACCAGGAAAAGCACCTGGATCCTGGCTCCTGCCATCGGATCAGCGCGGTGCGCCGGCTGCAGCGGCGGCCATTGGAGGGTGAACCAACGGCAAAGGAAGACCTTTCTCTCTCTGTCTCTCTCTCACTGTCCACTCTGCCTGTCAAAAAAAAAATAAAAAAAATAAAAAAGTTAAATGAGTGAGGTGGGTTGAGTGATTGGTAAACTCTACAGATGGCAAGTCGAGACTTGTGTCTTAAGTATCAGAGAACATTCTGGAGTCAGGGAGTGATGGCTCATCACAGCCGTGTCAGATCCCTTGGTTTCCAACTGGTATGGTTCTGACCTGCAATAAAATGGAACTTAGCTCAGATCTATGAGTCATGTTAAGCTCCTGGTACCATTCAAAATGAAGAATTCTAAAGGGGGATGTTTTCTTATAACTGTAGAGCATCCCACTGTGTTTATTTTAAATGTCACAGATTTATTTAGAAAAATAATTTCTTTTTTTTCTGTTGAGAAGGTTGAGCTTTCTTGCATACGTGTCTGGAAAGTAGATTTGGGGCTGGGGTGGGGGGAGGCAAGAGACCCGTCCTAACTTCCTTCTGATTAGATGTTAAGAATAGACATCCAGTATAAACAGATAAAAAGCAATTAGATAAACAATGAGCTCTGAAAAAAATCTAGTATTTTATTGTTGGAGTCTCAAACCCAACCTGTGCTGAATTTGGCTGTGTGGGTGGAGAGTGAATTTTTGCAGACTGAATGTCTTGGGTTTGGAAGCAGTTTCTCAGTTTCTCCCATATTGCAAAGCAGAGCACATGTGTTCAGTTGTGGATTTCCACAAAACTGGCAATCCTGAACCCAGGAATGAACGCGTGAGCCTCCCAAAGTTCATTTGCAAGTTTCTTTGGCACGGACAATGCGTTTTCCCACAATGTCACACATGACGGATGGACTCACAAGCCAGCCCGCAAAATTCAGTTTGTCTAATTTCAACCAGTGTCTGTTGACGGTCTCCTGAGAGCCCAGTGTGGGAAGTGAGCTTGCTCGTGCTGCCGTTCCCGGCTCTGAAGAGTTGGCTCGCACGCTGGGAGGGCAGACCTGGCTGCGGCCGGCATGCCTTCAGTTAGTCGCGGCCCAGCCTCCATGGTTATCGAGCCCTGTGCTTGGTGCCTGGGATAGGAGTTTTTCTTGCCTTCATGGAGCTTGCAGTCCAGCTTCCATGCTAATAATACCACGTAACCCCCAAGCCTCCGATTCCTAATGGTTTACAAGAATGAGCATTTATACACATTAACTTTTCTTGCAGTTGGGACTTCCTGCCAATGATAGGGATGGGGGGGGCTGTCTGTGTGAAGCTCTGCAGGTTGAGTTCAGATCTGCTTCCTATAGCTCACTCTGCACATACAAAGGGGTTTCAAGAAGGTCGTGGAAATTAGAATTAAGAAGTAATTTTATTTTGGCACAAAAAAGTGTTTGAAATTCATGCATAGTTTTTTTTAATAATATATATCTCCTATGAAC